CTGGGGTTTTTGGTGGTAGCAATCCTAATAAGTCCAAGGTGGTATCTTATTGTAGTTTTGATTTGCATTTCCCTAATAATTAGCAATGTTGAACATCTTTTCTTTTCATGTGCTAATTAGCCATTCATACATCTTCTTTGGAGAAATGTCCACTTAAGTCCTTTACCCATTTTTGAATCAGGTTTTTTTTGGTGTTGTATTTTAGGAGTTCTTCATATATTCTGGATATGAATCCCTTATCAGACAGATAATTTGCAAATATTTTCTCTCATTCTGTGGGTTGCCCTTTTACTCTATGGATACTGTTTTTAAATTTTCATGAAGTCATAATTTGCCTGCCTTTTCTTGTGTTACCTCTGTCTGCACTGGGTGTCAGTGCAAGAAATTCTTACTAAATTCAGTGGCTTTTAAAGATTTTATTTATTTGTTTGACAGAGAGAGACACCGCAAGAGAGGGAACACAAGCAGGGGGAGTGGGAGCAGGAGAAGCAGGCTTCCTGCCTAGCAGGGAGCCTGATGACTCAATCCCAGGACCCTGGGACCATGACCTGAGCCAAAGGCAGACACTTAACAACTGAGCCACTCAGGTGCCCTAAATCCTGTGGCTTTTAATCCTATTTTTCATTAAAGAATTTTATTGTTTGAGGGGCACCTGGGTGGCTCAGTGGGTTAAGCCTCTGCCTTCGGCTCAGGTCATGATCCCAGGGTCCTGGGATCAAGCCCCACATTGGGCTCGCTGCTCAGTGGGGAACCTGCTTGCTCCTCTCCCTCTCTCTGCCTGCCTCTCCACCTCCTGTGATCTCTGTCTGTCAAATAAAAAAATTTTTTAAAAAAAGAATTTTATTGTTTGAGGTCTCATAATTAGGTCCTTGATCTATTTTGAGTTAATTTTCAAATTTGGTATTAGCTAAGGTCTAACTTCATTCTTTTGTATGTAGATGTCCAGTTTTCCCAGCAACATTTGTTGAAAAGACTGTCCTTTACCCTATTGAATGGTTTTAGTATCCTTGTCGAAAATTATTTGACCATATATGTGAGGCTTTATTTCTGGGCTCTGTATTCCATTCTTGTATAGTATATGTCTATCTTTATGTTGATACCACACTCTTTTGATTACCATGGCTTTGTAGTAAGTTTTGAAGTTAGGAAGAAGTGTGAGTCCTTCAATTTTGTTCTTTTTCAGGATGGTTTGACTCTTTGCAGTCCCTTGAGATTCCATAAGAGTTTTAGAATGGATTTTTATATTTCTGATTGCTGTGTGTGTTTAAGGCTATGGATTTTCTTTTGTTCATTGATTATATCTCATGTATTTTGATAAGTAATGTTTTTTATCATTATTTTTTCAGAAATTCTTTAATTTCAATTTATATATCCCTTTTATGCAATAAGTGTTTAATAGATGGCTTATAAATTTCTAGGTGAAAAGCTGTCTTATTTTTTTATTTTTTAAAAATTTCTAAGTTTATTGTATTGCAATTAGAAAGCATTGTCTGTAGTATTTCCATTTTACAGAGCTTACTAATGTTTTCCTTGGTCTAATAGGATCAAGTTCCATAAATGTTCCATGCACTTTTATGAAGAAGATAAATTCTCTATTATTGGGTATACATCTGATATTTTCCCCCATATGTTCTGCCTTATTATTTTGTTTAGATCTTCTATATCTTATTTTTGTCCGCTTGACCTATCCTGTACTGGGAGTGGTATGTTGAAGACTCCTATTATTAGTGTGATTCTACCTACTTTTCCTTGCATTTCCTATAGTTTCTACTTTAAATAGGTACTGCTGTGTTATTTGGTGTATTTATATGTTCATAAGTATTATTGTGATATCATGACTTTTTTTAAGATTGGATTTTTAAGTAATCTCTACACCCAGTGTGGGGCTCAAACTAATAACCCTGAAATCAAGAGTCATATGCTCTACCAACCAACCCAGTCAGGTGCCCTGTGATATCGTAACTTGTAACATTAAAAACTGACCTTCATGGAATGCCTGGGTGGCTCAATCAGTCAGGTATCTGCCTTTGGATGAGGTCATGATCCCAGGGTCCTAGGATCCAGTTCCATATCAGGCTCCTTGCTCAGCGGGGAGCCTCTCCCTCTGCCTGCTGCTCTGCCTGCTTGTACGCTCTCTCTCTCTCTCTGTCTCTGACAAATAAATAAATAAAATCTTAAATAAAATAAAAATAAATAAATAAATAAATAAATAAATAAAAACTGGCCTCCTTTTTAGTGAGTTTTTGTTCAAATTCTATTTTGTTTGATATCAGGATTGCAACCCCAATTTTCTTACTACTTTCATTTGTCTGGTGTATCCTCATCCATCCCTTTATTTGTAGATATCTTCAATTGCTTTGTTTTATGTGTTTTTCTTACATGTAGCACATAGTTCCATTTTGCTTTATGGTCTATTTGAAAACATGTTTACTGTAGTAAACAAGTCATTCCCATTCTTATTTGTTGAAATGCCTGATATGTTCGGACTCAACACTGTCGTATTTTTATGATTTACTATGTGTATTATATTATAGTTACTGTATGTATTAGTTTCCCAAAGGCTTCCTTAACAAATAACCATTCACTGGTTCTGGGTGAACATGAATTTTGGGGGGACATTATTCAACTCAGTATACTGTGTTCCTTTCTCTATGTGGTATGTCTTCTTTGCTCTTTTAAAATATATCTTTTGATATTTAAGAAAGTATATTTTTTCTCTGGCTACCATAGTGTTTAGTCCTTCTATAAATCCTTCTCCTTTCCCTTATTTACACTTTTGCCGTCTGGCTTGTCATTTTTACTATGGTAAATACAGATAACATTTACCATCTTAATCTTTTTAAAGTGTACAGATTAGTGCTAATAATTATATTCACATTATTGTGCCATCACCACCGCCATCCATCTCCAGAACTCATTTCACCTTGCAAAATTGAAACTCCATATATAGTAAATGACAATCCCTCTTTATACTCTTTTCTCAGCCCCTGGAAACCACCATTCCACTTTCTTTATCTACAAATTTGACTAAGTATTCTATCATATAGTATTTGTCATTTGTGACGGGTTAGTTGATGGTTTGTCAGCTTTTAATAATTCCCTTTTATTTTCATTTATTACCTATACAATTATTAGTGGTCTTTTTTTTTTCAAACTTCAGATATTTATTAATCAGTGTAAACCCCAGCACAATACACCAACATGATTTCACATGTTTAGAGAAGAAATACTTCTTGGATAAGTGGAAAATTGTGAGAATGGCTTCTGGGAGGCCTTCATTCTGAACAGCTTTATATTGAAACACTTAATTTAGAAGTCTGCCTCTTCTTTCTTCAGTTTGCTGTGATCTACATTCACTGAGCCAAACATGTATTAATTATGGGGGCCCAGTTTTTTCAGGATCTGGAATATTCTTATCCCCACTGACATCTGGATTGAGCAATGCCAAGTGAAATCTCCAGTGCCTCCCACTCCAATAAATATAAGGATGAGAATCAAGCTCAGATGCTTCTTGGTCTGACTGAGGATCTGGAGTAACATGGTTGCAGCAGAGGCCTCAGGTCCAGAGGGAAAAAAGATCAAATGTGCAAGGCCCCCAACAATTAGTGGTTATTCTACTTTCCCCTTTCTCCCTCCCTTCTCCTATTTTTAGTTGAATTATTTTCACTCTTAGTGTTTATGTGATATTCTTCTGTCCATGTGCCAATACTTATTTTAGTCTGAGATTTAGAATTCCATCTATGAATTGCACACCTCAGTTCTTTAATGAAGTTTTCCTAGTCATCTCTTGGTTGGATGAAGCTCAGTCACTAGATACCTCAGGATGGGCTCATGAGCATAGTATTGTCTGAGTTCGTGCAAGTTTATACCTGTTCTTTGGTAGACTTCATACTTGCTTGAATGACAATTTTCCTGGATATAAAATATTTACTGCTACTTTGTTTCCTTGAGTTTCTTGAAAATGCTCTAATCTTCCCAATGCAGGGCTTGAACTCACAACCTTGAGATCAAGACCTGAGCCAAAATCAAGAGTCATGGGGCGCCTGGGTGGCTCAGTGGGTTAAAGCCTCTGCCTTTGGCTCAGGTCATGATCCCAGGGTCCTGGGATTGAGCCCTGCATTGGGCTTTCTGCCTAGCAGGGAGCCTGCTTCCCCTTCCCTCTCTCTCTGCCTGCCTCTCTGCCTACTTGTGATCTCTGTCTGTCAAATAAATAAAAATCTTTAAAAACAAAAACAAAAACCCAAAATCAAGAGTCAGACCCTTAACTGACTGAGCCACCCAGGCATCCTGAAAATGCTCTAATATTGCTTTGATTTCTTTATTGTTCTTGAGAAGTATGATGCTGCCTTAATTTTTTTACCCTTAAAAGTCATTTGGTCTTTTTGTTTGGAGTCTCTGAGGATTTTCTTTTCTCTGTCTTCAATATTGAGTAGTTTTACTAGGGTATATATTGGTATTGGTTATTCTAACTTTTCTAACTGTTCTAACTTTTCCAAGGATAGGGTGGGCCTCTTAAGGTGTACATTTAAATTTTGTTTCACTTCCAGAAAGCTTTCTTGAATTATAGTTTTAGTATTCTGTTTTGTATTTCTGTGGGGTTCTCTTTTAAGCCCCTTTGGTTATACGGAAGATATAACTAGTTTTTCTTTGCCTGTCTTCCATTTCATTTGATAACTTTTCCATGAAAATGAAATATTAGACTGAGAAAGAGAAGAATGTTAGACCATTTGCACCTGCATTTGAAACCATCTTTATTATATCGCCTGCCTAGTTATATAAAGTCTATTTCAAGTGTATTGTGTTTCTTTGATCAAAGTTTGTCATTTGATGGGAGAACAAACATCTGCAAAAATTAAATCTATTGAAATACAATGTACCCATTCTGAGATCAGGGAATTAGGTATAATTTGAAGCTATTTGTAGGCCATGGCTTGCTCTGTAATAATTTTACTTTAACTTTGCTGTCACTTTGCTAATGGGGAATTGTTATTCTGTCCCAGAAAACCTAATCCAGGATAGAAAGAAATTCCTGAAAGATGAAAAGAAGCATGGTAGTACTCAGAAGCGGAAGTACCAGGATTTTCTGGATGTTATACTTTCTGCCCAGGTAAATTTTTCAAATGTCTGAGGCTGCTCATATATGTAGTTAATTGTGCAGGTGAATGGATGGGTGAGGTGGAGGGGAGACAAGAGGAAAATTGATCAGCTAAATTTAACAATACTTTCAAATTGATGGGTTGGATCCATGCAGTTTGAGGTGAAGATAGAAGTCTGTAATTCTGTCACTAGAGAGAGTCGGACAAGACTAAATTTTTTACTAATTGGACAGGACTTGATGATTACTGCAAAGATACATGGCAGTGTAGGGAAGCACAGGAAAATGGGTCATAGCGTAAGTTGGTAAAATGATGAGGAGGAGGTGCTGGGGAATCTGCGTAAATCTGGCAGGATGAATCAAGGAGCTCTTTGCAAGGCCTGCTTTCCTTATCTAATGTTGGTTCTCCTTTGTACTCTGGTCAAAGTGTGATTCCTACTATGTATTTGTTGAACTGAATTAAAATTGAAACTCTCATATGAAATTCTAGTGGTCCCCCCACCCAAAGCCATTATCTTGGTTGGGGCTGCAGATATCTATAAACTGACATTGCAGAAACATCTCTCTACTGTACCTTCCAGGCTGAAAATGACAACAGCTTCTCAGATACTGACCTAAGGTCTGAGGTGAACACACTGATGTTGGCAGGGCATGACACCACAGCAGGGAGCATTTCCTGGCTCCTCTACTACCTGGCTCTGAACCCTGAGCATCAAGAGAGATGCCGGGAGGAGATCAGGGGCATCCTGGGGGACGGGTCTTCTATCACCTGGTAAGTCTGCATTCTTAAACATTTCATCTTGCTTCCTCTCCATGCATTTTGCTTTATTCTCTCCTCTGGTACCTTGGTGACCATTGTGCTTCAAGATATGTGCCTGTAGAAACAGAACAGGCAGGCTACTATTCTGCCTGTTTTCTAGAAAGACCAAAATTATCCCTATATCTTTGCCAAAGAAGTTCACTCATTGTAAGTTAACTGCTTCACTGTTTTTCTAATCAGTGGTGTGTAACATCCCATTTCTTTCACCTGGCTGGGTATGCTGGAAAAGGGGACTTGATCCCTAGACTTGCATTCAGAGTTTGAATGTTAAGACTCAGGTGCGTCTCCTCTCTGAGACCCCAGCAAGCACCCATATCATTTAAGCTCCCATTGTAGTCATTCCCTCCCATCTCCTTGTTTACTCCTCAGGACTGGCTCAGACTTTGAACATAGTACTAACGGATACACACTGTAGTTAAGTCCAGCGATTATGGACTGAGAACATTCTAAGTACTGAGGCACTTCGGAAATGTTCCAGATTTGGTGTAGATCCTGCTCTCAATGAGCTTACACCCTGGGACAGGAGACAGTCCTCCGTATGAATAATTGCCATATAACCTGATAAGGGTAGCGAGAGAGTGTGCTGGCTACTACAGAAAATCAGAAGACAGGCACCTGACCTGGTTTTGGGGACACAAGGGGACTTCTTGGGAGATCTGACGCCCAAGCTGCCTCTTAGAGGATAAGTTAGCCAGGTAGAAAATGTCAACACCATTTGAAAGACTTTGAAATTATCTGGCTGTTCAAACAGTGCCCAGGTTATGGATTTGCCCCTGAGACACACTGTCTGACAGAAAAACACATCTCTGATTCAAAACACATTCTTCACCCTAGCTAGATATTTCACTTACCATTGCTTTGCTGGCCAAAGGGACAGAAAGATAAAAATGATAAGGACTATCCAGTCCCGGGAGTAGGGAGAAAACACCATATTTCAAATGCAAAGGTCAGCTCAGTTAGAATATTTGCAAGGGAAAATTTGGATTTATATAGATATGGTAGAGCTCCTACTTTTTTTAAGGAAGTAATAGTTATTTCCTACCATAAATTAAAGGTTTTAATCTGTATAGCACAAAATATAGTGTTAATTAGTCATTTTTTATTCATTGATTAACGTTAATTGTATATTTAACCTGTTTAGGGTGTGTATGTATACAATCCCAATATTGGCCTTTCTCATTCTTGTCTGGCGTATGTGAAATGTAAAAACAATAAAGAAACCTTTGCCAGGTGAGAAAACAAAGTCCAAAGGATCTATTAAGTATGACTTATTTTAATGAGAGAAGGGAAAATAATTTTATATAAAATAAATTTTTATTCCATAATATGGCCCTATACTCACATTTAATGAAATTTATACGTAGTATGCTGAAAATTTATAATTCTTTAAGACAGACAATAAAACCACATTGCAAGGAGCAATTTCTGAAAAAACTGGCAAGTTGATCAACGTCTCCATTTGACTTTTCAGCCGTTTCGGCATTGGGTTAAAATTCCTCTCTTCGTCTTGCACCAGGGCTAAGATGGACAACATTGTGTTTCTAAAATATGCAAAGTGCCAGGCTAAGCAGAATTACCTTTTTTATTCTGAGCTTGAGGAGGAAAGAGCTCAAAATGAAAATTTCACACTACTGAATGGTCAGAGCCCGCATTCAAAATAAGTAATCAGAAAAGCAAACAGAAATACAATAAAGCAAATATACTGAATATATGCAGTCATTTTATGACTAGCTGATTGGCTAGGATGAAAAAAAAAAAACTTTATTCTTCTCCCTCTGGTATTTCAGACTTGTGTGAGACAAGTTCTTTTCATCTCTGGGGTGAAATCTTGAGTGAATCTCAAAGAGTTCCCATCCATTTAAGTCAAAAGAGCAGTCTCATTTCAGTAATGAAGCTGTCTGGTCCAGTGGAATAATGAAAAGTACAAATTCATATCTACTTGTATCCTCTCCCTCCATCCCAGATCAGCATTTCTTTGGGTCTGGAAGCCAGTGATGGATGAGGGTTTGTGGTTGGCTTCTTTTTACTGACCAGTTCCTCCCCAACCCAGTAGCTTCTGTTTCTGACCCCTCCAAAAGTGGTCCCAGGAGGGAGCCAGGAGGAGAAGGGGGTTGGTACTATGGTGATTTGCCCTCTGAGCTGGGTAGCTAGTGAGTGCTTTCTTTCACTCACAATGGGTACATCTGTGAGTTTCTTGGAGATTCCCTCACTGGAGCTTTGCCATGGTGATTCACGGGGCAATGAGGGAATTCTTATCCTCAGAATTCCCTTCAAGCTGGTTCTGAAGCTCTGACTCTTGCCAATTCATTGGCCTAAACAGCACACTGGAGTACTCCCGACTTGTTTGTCGCTGTTGCTCTCCCCCAACTCCCTGTCTGTTCTGAATCACAGACCTCTGTGATCTATCAGTCCTCTGTTTCCCAAACTCAGGGGGTACATGTCAGATCATCGAAGTGACCCAAGAAGCCCCTCTTTGCCTAACATGGTTGGGAGACTCTCCTCCATTCTCCACAGCATTCAGGCATTCCAACAATGCTCTTTAAAGGATATTTTTTTTTATTCTCAAAACTCTTAAGCCCTCTCTCTTCAGTCCTTAGTCATTCTACATTCTTGACTTATATGGTGAGCTAAGAGTTGCAAATCAGGTTTCAGAAATCTCCCTACCAAATCCTTTACTGGTAGATTAGCATCTCACTTTATAACGGATACTTGTTTGGTCCCTCTTCCTCTGGAACCTCAGCTGATCCTGAGGCAGAGTCTCACATTCTATTACATAAGCCAATTGCAAAATAACTCTAACCTAGAGATGATATTTACCAGGACTAAACACCAAAGAGGAAGAAAACATCATTATTTACAAACTAGATATGGAGACTGAGTTCCCTCCCTTCCTTCCCTTGTCCTCACAGGCACCAGCTGGGTGAAATGTCATACACCACAATGTGCATCAAGGAGTCACTCCGACTGGCGCCTCCAGTCCCATCCATTTCCAGAGAGCTCAGCAAGCCTATTACCTTCCCAGATGGACGCTCCCTGCCTGCAGGTCTTTGCATTCTTTTCTTAAGCAGTTCCTAGAGACCAGGGGATCCTAGCGACCACAGCGACAAAGACTGGCCTCAACAGTCCTCAGCTCTTAGAGGAGTCAAAAGACAAACCTAAGGAAGTCTGGCTTAGAGTGGGTGCCTATCAAGAACTCAGTGGGTAATTCTTTGATCAGATGTGGTTTCCAGACTTTCCCAAAAGCACATAGCCATTTGCAGAGAAGCTCTGCCCAGAACCTGGGTGGCTAGAATCCCAACTCAGGGTTTCTTCATTCACAGGACATTGTTTCTAAAATAATCTTTGTTTGGCTTAGTTTGAGACCCAGGTGAGACTTCATGGGAGATGAGCATCATTATATTTATCTAGAAGACCCATGGTGGGGTCTTTGGCTTCATTATCATCAAAATATTACTCTTATAAGTGTGCAGCACTTAAGAGTTAACATGGAACCTTCAAACACATTATCTCATTTTCCTGCCCTTGGAACATGATCTTAACAGACATTTATATGGCGCTTCTCAGTTTACAAAGCACTTTGAAAGCACACTACACACATGGTGTAGCCAAAAATTCACTGGAGACCCCAATGGGCAGATGAGCAGAATTAAAACTTGCATAGAGGCCCCACACCTCACCCAGTGTTCTTCATAGCACAGGTCTCTGAACAGGGCGAGTGGAAGGCAGAAGGGTGTCACATGAGATAGCCTTCACATGTCTGCTTCCGTGTTCTGTTAACTCTTGCCATTGGAAACAAGGTGACAGGATTGCTTGTAGCAAATACCAACAGCCTGTCACTGTGACTTTGTTGACAGATCCAGAATTAACTTACCAGAATTTTTTATGGTAATCAAATAATCTTCAAAATCTCTCTCCTCTTTTTTTTAACTTTTTATTTTTTATTAACGTATAATGTATTATTAACCCCAGGGGTACAGGTCTGTGAATCACCAGGTTTACACACTTCACAGCACTCACCATAGCACATACCTTCCCTAATGTCCATAACCCCACTTCCCTCTCCCTACCCTCTCCTCTTCTTTTTTGATCCCCAAACCATGTGGATACTTGCCAAAATTTCCTCCCTTCCACTTATGAACAGAACCAAAAGAAGCTTGTCATTGGACCTACATGATGGAATTGTGGTTCTGTTCTTCTGGTCCCAAACTATCTCTGGTGGGTGCTATATTGTCCATTAACAGATATCATTCTGACATGATACCAACAGCTCCTTAAGATAGAATCAGGTATTAAATAAGTCATTGCTTTGAAAACTAAGGTGTCATTCAAGCCTCATCTTCCCATGGGTCCTTGACTGCTGACATCAGCGATGGCACACAAAACTCTGCCAGGAGCTAGCTCATTCCATTCAAGAAGAAAATTCTTATTGAAGAGTGGTGTAACAGTAGCTCTACCTCAACTTGTTCTACCTCCTGTAATCTTTTTTGTTTCTTTCCTTTCACAGGAATAACTGTGGTTCTCAATGTTTGGGGCCTTCACCACAACCCTGCCATCTGGGAAAATCCAAAGGTATGACTGTCTTACATGTAAATACTTCAAAAAACAAATGCTGTGCAAGTAACTTTTTGTTAGCACAACGGGGATGTGGCAAACGACACAAAGCAAATAAAATGAACATAAAGACCAAAAATGTTCAACTCTCCTCCTAAAGAAAAAACCTGTCCCCTCCCCCTATTCCTACTTTATGTTTGCTTTGAATGAACAGATGGACATAATGCCACACAATCTGCTTCCAAACTGCAATCTGTACTGCAGTCATTTACTTAACGAGCTCCACCAAGCTCTCACCTAGACATCTGCAAGAGTGTAGACTATCCATGTAGCCAGGCAGGCAACTCAGACTCTCTTCTGCTGGATGGAACTGTGGGAATTCTGGCAGAAAACTGATGACACCCTCAAATTGGGCACTTTGAGGAGAGTTTTATAAAGGAACTATTTACAAAGGTTTGGTAGGATTTGTCAAAGCAACATGGAGCATACAATGTTGAAGGGCTTCCCACCTCTGGGCCTGGTGAGGGTTACAATGACAGGAGAGAGATTGCTATGCTGGAAAAGATCCTGGGCAGGAGTTAGGCCTTCAGTAGAGCAGTCAGTCTCAGGAAGCTTGGTAGGGTGAGGTCCGGGGAATAAATAACCCAAAAGCTCTCTCCACCTACCTTCCAGATCACCAATGTCTTTTATCAGCCAAACCTAACAGAAAACTATATGGCTCCGCTTCTTGGAGCCTAGAGCAGAGCAGGAAAGAGAGAAGAGAGGATCTAGAGAATTAAAAAGAAGACACATAGCTAACCATAGTGCTTGATTCAATGTTCTTAAACTCTGAACACTCACAACACCCACAGATATTTCCTTTCACATAAGTGGCTAGGGGTTAAGATATCTTATGCGTAACATGAAGTGGACTGCATGTCTCAGTTACAGCTGATCATGTAATCCCTTTGGCTAGACTTCTAAGTGTGTGCATTCTTTTTTTAATGTTGAAATTAATTTTGAGTATAGTTGACATGCAATGTTCCATTAGTTTCGGGGGCACAACTTCGTGATTTGACAAGCTGATACCTGATGCTATGCTCACCCCAAGCGTGACCACCACCTGTTCCATTCCATCGCTATAACAATGTAATTGATGATATTCCTTACGCTGTGCCTTTTACTCCTGTGACTTATTCGTTCCATAACTGGAAGCCTGTATCTCCCTCTCCCCTTCACCAACTTTGTCCAGCCCCCTACAACCATCAGTTTGTTCTCTGTATTTATAGGTCTAATTCTGCTTTGTGTTTGTTTATGCACTTGGTTTTTTCCTTTTTTTTTTTATTCGTCTTATAAGTGGACACATACAGTATTTGTCTTTTTCAGTCTAACTTATTTCACTTACCATAATAGCTTCTAAGTCCATCCACGTTGTTTCAAATGGCATGATCTCAAGCTTTTTGTGGCTGTGTAATATTCCGTTCTATCCACCACATTTTCCTTATCCATTCTTTAATTGATGACACTTAGGTTGCTTCCATATCTTAGCTATTATAAGTGAATGCTACAATAAATTAGGGATGTATATATCTTCTCAAATTAGTGTTTTCATTTTCTTTGGATAAATTAAGTAGGTGCATTCTTACCACCAAAGTGAAAATAATATCACTGACCCTAACATTTCTGCTTTCTCCATACTTGGTCTGGGTAGATATTAGTCCACTGGGAGACCAAACAAGGGCTACAGGTCTAGAATTGCCCTGTCCAATGTGGTAGCTATTCACCATATGTGGTTATTGAGCACTTAAATTGTGGCTAATCAGAAATGAGACATGCTGGGAATGTAAAATACACACTGGAATTTTAGGACATAGTACGAAAATGTGAAATATTGCCTTAATAATTATTATATTGAGCACATGTTGGAATGATATTTTTTTTTTCAAAATAAATTCTATTATTCAAATTATTTTCACGTTTTAAAAAATTTGACTACCTGGGACACCTAGGTGGCTCGGTCAGTTAAGCATCTGCTTTTGAGTTAGGTCATGATCCCAGTGTGCTGGGATCCAGTCCCGCCTCAGACTCCTTGCTCAGTGAGCAGTCTGCTTCTCCCTCTGCCTCTTTCTCTCTTGTGCTCTCTCCCTCTCTGTCTTTCTCTCTGACAAATAAATGAAACAAAATAATAAAAATGTGGCTACCAGAACACATATGTGTTCTGGTACATATGTGGCTCATCATATATTTCTGTTGATTCGTGCTAAGTAGTAGCTTAAGAAATGCACTAATGATGTTTTGGGGATGGTGGTGGGATTGCGCTGTCATTTTAGGTCTTTGACCCCTTGAGGTTCTCCCAGGAGAATTCTGATCAGAGACACCCCTACTCCTTCTTACCATTCTCAGCTGGACCAAGGTAAGAACAATTTGAAGTTGTTAAAAATGCACAGAAATGTTTACTTGGAAACAGCACTCTTCCTTTGGTAACTCAACTCCATATATTCTCCCATGGAGTCCTATCTTCTCACCAGATTATGAGGTAGATCATGGTACTTATCTGAGCTCCTGAAAAGACCAGTTAGTTTCACAAAGGACAAGGCCCTTCTCTGTCACATCCTATACACCCATGCCTCAGAAAGTTACCCTACAATGCAGACTTGCTCATAAGCCATGCAGGCCACCCCCCAATGCAGGAGAAACAATTGTTTTTCCCCTTAATTTCAAATTTATTGAGGTATAGATGACAAACACAATTATAAGGTATTTAAAACGTACAACATGGTGATTCACCATCTGCATACATTGTGAAAAGGTTCTTCCCCTTCACCAATTTCTCTCTTTTTGTGTGCATGAGGATATTTAAGTAGAACTTAGCAAATTTATTAGCAAATTTCAATCACACATTACAGTGTTACCAACTATAGTCACCACGTTTTACACTACATCCTCACAGGAGAAACAATTCTATAAGCATCTCCAAGTGTCACCTTCTTTAGGGAGGGCATCACATTACAGCCTCTCAGTTCATGTTCTTGCAGGAGATAAGAGAAGTTCAAAACTCTCCTTGACGTTTAGTGTGAAAATGCTGCTTTACTGTGAACAGTAGATTCATTATTCTAGCACCTTAACAAAAGAGTCAGAAACAACTACCATTTCCTCAAGGTCTCTCTTTCTTTCCCTTGGTGTCTGCAGGAATTGTATTGGGCAGCATTTTGCCATGATTGAGCTAAAGGTGGCCATTGCCTTGATTCTACTCCACTTCAAGGTGGCTCCAGACCCCACCAAACCTCTTGTCTTCTTGCACCAGATTGTCCTCAAAGCCAAGAACGGGGTCCACTTACACTTGAAGAAACTCCCCTAATGTTACAGCCCAGGGTACAATGATTATATATATATATCCAACATATCCTCTCTATATAGGATATATATATCCATTCATCAATTTTATATATATATACACATACACACACACACACACACGCACACACAGAGTTTTAAAGTTAAATTACAGCTATTGGGCCAAGAAAATGAAGAGAAATCAAAATATGGTGGGAGGGTTAGGGGTACATGGGATGGGGGTCTTTGTGTAACTGCACATTATCCAAAACCATTTCTAGGTGATATCCTGTGTCACCCAGATCTGTTTCTGTATGATTTGGGGAGATTTTCCAATCATTTCTGTTTGATTCTCGCTGTTGTTAATGCTACATACCAAGAATTTTCCTAGGTGACTTCCATATATTTTCTGTTGCTTTTTAAAATAGTTTTTGGAATTATACAAGTAATATGTGCATGTATGCTCACAGTAAAAGATATCCAACATTCGAAAAGCATGCAGAGTAAAAAGTAAAAATCCCACATCACATACCCTATACCTCTCTGCCCTGACCAAACCTACTCATTTTCCTAAAAACAGAATAGTTTTGTGTTAATTTTTTCAGAACTTTTCATATACATTTCATATATACATATGTATATATGTATTCTTACAGATGGGATCATATCCATAGTATTCTTGCTTTTTTCACTTAATAAAAAATACATCTTATTCCTAATCATGGATTCATGATATTTTATAATATGAATGTATTATAATTCATTGAACTATTTTCTTATTATTGGATATTTAAATTATTTATGGCTTAAAGACATGCTTATTGGCCACTTGTATTTATTTTGTTGTCTGTGACTCATACATCATTTATGCTCCTTTTCCTATGGAGTTCTATATGAGTTCTCTAATATTGTGGATGATAGTCCTTAACTGTAACTTTTCTTTATAACTTTCCCCATTATTCTACTTTTATAAAACTGTATGGTGTCTGTTAGCATACAGAACTTCTAAATTTTCATGAAATAAGGTAAATAAACTTTTTTTTTATGGTTTCTGGGTTTCAATCTTGAATAAGAAAACCTCCATTTTGAATATTATCTAGGTATTCTACATAGTTTCCTGATGTTAACAACTCTTGTGAAGCCTGAGCAGGAATTTTTTAATTATTTCCAAATATTAATAATAATAATTATTATTATTATTTCCAGATTCATTACTCATTTGATGTTTACATGTCCACTACATGTCAGATATTGTGATAATCATTCAGTGAATGAACAGGACCCCTGTCCTCATGGAGCTGGTATCCTAAGCAGACAAATAATTACAAATTTCACTAAGTGCCTTGAAGGAAGTGAATGGGCTGAGCTAGACAGTAATGAAGGGGAGCTTACTTTAGATTGCGTTGTCTAGAAAATCTTAAGAAAGGGATATGTAAGTTGAGATCTCAAAGGAGAGAAGCTACACCTCTTAGACGCCCCTAGTGGCAATATTGTGGCAACACTGGACAATTCAAATAGTTCCGAAACACTTTGGGTTTTGGAAGGAATAAATCATCGGAATAAAAGGCACAGCGTGGCAAATATAGTCCATGATACTGTAATAGCGTTGTCTAGTGACAGGTGGTAGTTACACTTGTGGTGAGCACATCATCACCTAGAGAGAAGTCGAATCACTATGTTGTACACCTGAAACTAATGTAAACTTGCATGTCTGCGATACTCAAAAACATATTTTTTTGATAGCCCTGAAACAAACAGTAGAAGTATATTTCCTTTGCCAAGTAAAAGCAAACTGATCTTGCCCATCTGGATGGATAAGAAATGAAAATAAAGTCCTGGTCACATCTGTAACAGCTTACTATAACAAAATACCCCCCAAGAGAGGAGCTTAAACAAGATAAAAATGTCTTTTTCTCTCATATAAAAGTCGTAAGGAGGTATGTGGTCCAGAACTAGTAGGGTAGTTTGCTCTACAAGGTCATCAGAGGTCATCTAGGCTCTGTATATCTCGTTCTCCATCTTCAATGCACAGCTGTCAATGAACGATTCAATGAATGATCTAAACTAAGCCGCTAGCTCCTGCCACCACATCTACCTTCAAGCAAGTGGGAGGAGAAGAAAAGGAATGGGAAGGCAGGTGCCCTTCCTTTTTAGGATTTTGGCTGGAAATTGTACTCATCACTCTGCTCACAGCTCTGTGGACAACCCAGTCTCTCCTATAGTTGAAAGGGAAACTGGGAAATGTGGTCTTTAGCTGGCAACCTTGTCTCAGCTTAATCTTCTATTTCTGTAGGAGTGGAGAAAAGATGTTGAAGGCACACTGAGTCACCTCTGCCACCAACAGCCTATCATTTAATCATGGGCTGGAACAGATCCTTTAAAATAGAAATAGTATCAGGGATAGTGCTAACCATGAAGGTGTCATCTCATTCAAAGTATAGTAATCAAGGGGCAGCTTTCAACAGGCCATACAGGTAAATTTATAAATACTCAGTCCCGAGCCAGAAATGGATGGGGTTGTCAAGCATCTTGAAGGAGCTACATTGTCCTGGATGAAATACTCTGACTCTTCTTGTCCCCTCAACTGGAAGATGTTTTTTGCTTATACGCATAAGCAAAAAAAAAAAAAAAAAATGTGCTCAGTTACTACAAGTCTAGAAAGGATAATGCACTCAACGGAGTTGTAAGTAATATCAAGTGTCATGTTTTTATTCTTTTACCTTTTGTAAATCATTGGTCTTTTTTTACTAATCTAAAGGAAATTGTGGATCTTCTCCAGAAATGTGTATGTACCCCAAGCACCAACAGAGTTTGTTGGTGATTTCATGATGTTGGTGGATTCCACGAGCCCATGTCTGGACCCAAATGATAGCCCTTCCTCTGCCTTCATAACCTTAAGAACCTTAGCAGATGGCTGTGTCTAGTAATAGAGGTTCCTATTAGTTCAGAAGGCAAGTTATTGCATCCCCAGGCAGCTGTCATGGATAATAGTGTTTCAGAATACTGAACCAAAACCTTCCTTTTTATAACTTTCACCCATAGATACAGCTCAAAATTTCTTTATCGATTTATAGTTTTCAGAGTCCTTTTACCACCATTACATAATTAGATCTATACCACCCCCTTTGTGATGTATGCATGGAAAATTACCATATTCACTTTCCCAATGAGGAAAAGGAGGTTCGGTGAGATCAGGTGGCATATCCAAGGTCTCTCAGTCAATGAGTAGCAGACCTAGAACTCTAGAGCTTTGGCAGTTCTTTAAGTAGTTAAGAGATTGTTCTCATGACTTCCCAAGTACTCAGTGTTCCAGCACTCTAGTTTCAGCAAGTCTAACGTGGCCTTGCACTAACATCCAGCACCATGGAGTCAAGATGCTGAGAACTGATTGTGTTCATGGCCATCATCCTGGAACTAACTTTCTTCTGTACCTACTCTAGTCTGGGACCCATTTAAGCTCTGGCATCTCTGTTCTCTCCCTTACAATTCCACTTCTGGTATTTGGATTTGACATTTGCATTTTGGATTATCTCTCCAACTCCTGACTGTCCTTTTCTCCTCAAAGAGGAGGCCTGAACTACACTCTCCTTCAGGTCTCATTCACCATTCAATGGTCCAGTTGCTGGCTAATGCTTCAAGCAGGTCCGTCTTATCCCCCTTGAATGGGGATCCTGATCCAGACCCCCAGCTCTGTCTACTTTTTCTCACACATCATCATCCTCATAGCCAACGCTTTCCTGGTTTGTCTCTTCTTAACTCAAACCAATTTGACAACATCTGTCTTAAAGCATGATGCCTGGAAATGAAAAAAAGGATCCAAAGTATTATAAGCCTACTTCTTCTGGCATCTGAGACTGCCTCAAGGAGGGACAACAGTGGTAGTTGGTGTCCCTACTTGTTTAGTCATTTTTAGTCAACACTCCAGAAACAAGAATCTCTTTGAGAACAACTGTAAGACTTGAAGAAAAGTGTCCACAGCTCTCTCTCCAATCTCTGGAGGGCATGCAAAAATGGTGGCCCCAGCACTGCAAATTCTTTTTTTTTAAGAGTTTATTTATTTCTTTGTCAGAGAGAGAGAGAGAGAGAGCGTGCACAAGCAAGCAGAATGGCAGGCAGAGGCGGAGAGAGAAGTGGGCTCCCTGCCAAGCAAGGAGCCTGATGCAGGACTCCATCCCAGGACCCTGGGCTCATGACCTGAGCTGAAGGCAGTGGCTTAACTGACTAAGTCACCCAGAGTCCCTGCAAATTCATTTAGAATAGAATGTGAGTATCTCCCCTGAATGGAGCAGCACAGCTTCCCTGACAAATCTTTAAAATATCTAGTAAGGACACTGACCTTTTCCTTCTTCTCTCCCACAATGACCCACTGTTATATGAATTACTGTGCTAGCCACCATTAAAGGCCACCCTCCCAAACGAATGTTCTGAGGTACACCTGCTCGCTAGAAACAGGCTGTGCTGAACAACCCACGCTTTCTTTTTCTCACTCAAGACTAGTCATATTTGTTTGTGGAATACGGAGCTATACCTACCTGAAGACATCTAACTATAGATTGGCCCCACCTCTAACCACAGGTTGACATTTTCACTCTGTATATGCTACTGCACGGTAGGCACTCAAGACATATTTGTTTAACGAATGAATGAATTCATGGATGGAGAGTGAACAAATGAACTATGATCATGAGCTGGCCTCTAGCTCTGGCTGTTCTACTGACTGTCTAGCCCACAAACAGCTATATATTTTCAGAGAAAATAAATGTTGCAGCTCTGAGTCAGTTATGACGTCAATCTTAGCCACAGCTCGGTGAGACATTGTGTGGCTTCTCATAGTCCTGCCTACTGCAGGGGACATTATTTATCTGCACTTCTCCTTTCCTCGTAGATATTTGTGGAACATCTGTACACCAGGCAGTGTTCTAGCCACTGGGGATGTTGTAAGGAACAAAAAAACCAAGACTCTTGAAGCTTATATTCAAGAGGGGACCCAAACAGTGAAAAAGTAAATGAATAAATGAATACATTACTTAGGTTTAGGCGAGCTGTAATAACCAGCAACCCCCGCCCCCCCCAAAAATAAATACTGCCCCTCTCTGTGCCAGTCTATCCCTTTGGTTTATTTACTTCCCAAAGAGAGACTGCATTTACTCCCTCCTTGAGGATGACAACAAAAGTCCTATCTCCCTGGATATCTAAAATCTCCAAGTGATTTCATTTCTGTTCATCAGGCCTGGATAGAATTTCTTGCGTTCTAAGGTTCTATGAAGTAAAAGACAAGTTCTCTTCACTTAATGATGGAGCAGAGACAGGAAAACTGAAATAAAAACTCTCGACCTGGGGCACCCGGGTGTCTCAGTGGGTTAAAGCCTCTGCCTTAGGCTCAGGTCATGATCTCAGGGTCCTGGGATTGAGCCCCGCATCAGGCTCTCTGCTCAGCAGGGAGCCTGCTTCCCCCTCTCTCTCTCTGCCTGCCTCTCTGCCTACTTATGATCTCTGTCTGTCAAATAAAAAAAAAAAAAAAAAAACTTAAAAAAAAAAAAAAAAAAAAAAAAAACAGAAAACTCTCGACCTTATCCCAAAAGACTATTTCTCAGATGTTCTTGCTATTAAGTATGATGTGTGACTTAGTTTAGGCCAATGGGATA